TTCTATATATAATATACCTATACTATACTATATACTATAGTAGACTTATGAGATTAAAAATAAATATTGTTTTTTTTGTTATAAAAACATAGTCTTTGGGCAGGCGTTAAGGTGTGACAAAGATTAAAAAAGAATCAGTTTTAATTAAATTTCGCAAATTGGAAAGAATCATGCATTACAAATCAAATTAGAAAGTTAAACCCCCTAAAAAAATGTTGATTTCCCCAAAAAAATTAATAAAATTTTCCAAAGAATTTGTTTTCTCAATAAATTATAAAAACAATTTTTTGGGGACGGTTTGAATGTACGAAAAGTGCGCAACATTATCATCTACATTTTATTCAATATGGATAAACTTCAAATTATGCATTTTTTTACCCCTATCGTGGTTAAAAAATTTAATATCTAATTTAGGGAAAACTATTGACCGCATGATATAGCCGCCATGGGACAATTTGTAGCTGACCCACTCAGCTGCATTTTTGTCCACGGCGCTGGAGTCGTATGTCGCTATTTTGGTGGTGGAAAAGGGGGAGAGGGCATTTCAAAAACGAGTTCACCCAATTATCTTTTTGGATAAAATGTTTTTGAACTCGATCTCAAATAGACCCGTCGCGACGCGGTTAACTCCCCTACAAACAGTTGTGAACCCACGCAAGTAGTATATTTAAAGTTGTGGGGGTATACCCCCACTTTTCCATCCCCGTGAGTGAGTCTGATGATCTCCCGGCAATTGTAGCTAAGGGTGTGACAAACAAATTGTGATAATTTTTTTTTATTGTCAATACTTTTTCTGCCAAAGAATTTTAAATGAAATGAATCAAAATGTAGGAAATGATGACCGAACAATTAACGATGTTTGCAATTTTTGTGCTCTTAGTTTTGTTGTTTTTATATGGATTTGTAATAGTTGTTTGGTTTTGCTTTTTATTATTGTGTATTATAGTGTCAAAATTTTGCTAAACATACTTTCATAATGATTAATAATAATTGTTTGCAAAGATTTTAATAATGTTAATTAATAATTATAATTTTCAAAAAAATTCTTGTCTAAATTATTTATTTTTATTAAGAACCAGATACAACTGTTTTTATTTCCTAAAAATACATTATTGATGTCAATAATTAATTTCTGAAATTCATTGATTAAAATACTCTTGTCAAATTTCAGTTTACTTTAAAACTAAATATAATCATTTTTATTTCCTAAGTAATAATTTTTAAAAAGATTTATCCTTTTGTCAAATTCTATAATGTTTAAAAACATTTGCAGTTTCTTTAAAACTTAAATAAAATCTTTGTTTACTTCTTCCATGCCTGTGTTATACAGAATATCTTGGGTAGTTTAAATTAACGGCGGCAAATAAATCCAATATGGCGGTAGTGGGATGTGCGCATAACAGTACCGATTTTCGTTCGTATTTTAAGGAGATTGAACAGACCTTGTTGTGTGGATTGTGGGTATATCACACCTTGGTTTTCGATTAAATTTGAATCGGATGCGCGCATGCGCTGCCTACTTTTGGCGGAATAATTCAAATATTTGAAAAAGCAATCCTATTAAAAATGCCATATAGAAACACAAAATAAAAATCTATCTGGTTCAATATAGGAATTTGAAACACGCATTGCACTATTGAACCAGATAGAATTCCATACCTGGAAAACCATATAGAAAAGTGATTTCTATATGGATTGCCATATAGGTTCATATTGCCCAATATGGTTTGGGTGTGAAAAAATTATTACCATATAGATCCATATTTAACCAGATAGGGGAATCTATATGGTTTAATATGCAATTTTCGTTTAAATATATATACATTTTAAAATGGAATTCCATATTCAACCATATAGGGAAACCTATATGGAAAGACACATAAAACAGAAACCAGATAAATCCATATAAAAATCCCTAAGTTGTACATTTTAAAATGAAATTCCATATTAAACCATATAGATTCCAAAGTGTAAACCAGGTCGTTTCATATAGGACATATAGAACCATATAAATCCATATTAGTTTCCTTATCTGGATCAATATGGGTTCTATAGGGCATTTTTAATAGGGAAGTTATGGGTTTTGAAGGGCAAAGAGATATCTAAATAATTATCAACTTAAATGCTAGCATTTAAGTTGATTATTATTTAGAAATGTTTGCATCAAATAAACAGTCCTTTGGCCTTTCAAAACCCATAACCATATAGAGTTATTTAGATTTTCTTGTTTAAAATAAAATAGGCAATTAAAACACAAACTCAGACTTTGTAAACAATATTAATATTAATTAGTAATATTAAAATAAAAAAATATTTAAAATGGTATAAAACCAGTAATATTTGGATTTTTTAAATAAAATTTTAAGTAGATAATAAATTGCACCACTTTAATTTGAATGATCTTAAATAGGGGGGCCTGGAGGCGGGTGAGGCGACAAGAAAAACTAACTTTTTTTCGCAAACTTCAATTTAAATTCTGTTTGCGCCGAACTTGTCTATTTAATGTCATTATATACTATTATAAATTTGTTGTGGGTCCCATGTCTAATAACTGAAATATTGGTATACCCAAAATCCACCAGCCGCCACTGGGCCTTTGTTAACATTTCACACACTTCACGCAAAATTTGATACAAATTCTTTGATCCATTTCTCTTAACGAACGAAAATCGCCGAACTCATAAAAACACGTCTAACCTTAGCGGCTGCCACAGACAAAGTAAACAATGAAAACGTCTAAAAATTTTATCATTTTTTAGGGGTATGTATACCAACATAATAAAGACAATTTTATGACAACCAGACTCTCCAAACCCGCGAAAGAATATATACTTTGTAAAACACGTTAGTATTATGCCCTTTGAAGGCCTAACTTAAAAATGATGTATCTCGTAGAAACATAATTTGCATATAGAAGTGTATATAATATATTATCAAATAATAGTTAATTATCAGTACTTTAACGTGATATACTCAAAATTATAAAACAACGTTGCTTTTTCGATTTTTTAACCCTTAAAAAATGGTAAAATTTTAAATTAAATTGCCCCCAGCGCCCCCTGTATGCTAAAATCTAAAAAAAGTAATACGTGGATTTATTGCCATTAATAAGGTCTATATTTTTACTTAGTTGATAAGTTTTTAAATAAAAAATTGTATTACAAAATATCGAATTTTATCTAATTTTAAACATTTTAAGGCTTGAAAACCACAGTGGTCAATGGATGAATTTTTTTTAAACGCACCAATTAGATGTAGAAACAAGATTAAAAAAATATATTCAATTCTGGCATTACTCGCAAACAAATGTCCAAAATTAGTTCGATTTTTACGCGAAACCATAGTTAATACAAAAAAATTGTACGTGGGAAGGCGCACGGGGCCGCGCGGGGTGTCCACAGCACCCAGAGCCTCTTTGAAACAAAATACCAGACAACATATCACTTCAAAATCGGCAATGTTGTATGACTGACAATACTTTGACATTAAGGTACTTAAAGTAAGCGCCATTTATTCGAATCGAAGTGAGACCGGTAGCTATATTTAGGATGTGTTTTGTACACCCCCCGTGCCTGCTTAAGGGTTAAGTGCTTAAGCATATGAATTCATATATTTAACGTTGATTTGACAGAACTTCAGCAATCATGTGCCATGGCGGGCTTTTGTAATGGTTTAAAAATATAATTTTAATAATAATATTCATTATTAATAATAATAATTATTAAAATTATATTTTTAATAATTATTATATTATATTATTTAATAATTGAATCCTATGCTGGTTCAATTATTATTATACTTTTAAGAATTATTATTATTAAAATTATATTTTAAACCATTGCAAAAGCCTACCATTATTTGATATGCATTTACAATACTATAGTATGGATAAATAAAAAATACCTATGGGTATACTTCTGTTATAACAGAAGTATACCCATAGGTATTTTTTATTTATCCATCCTATCCATTTAGGTATATGTATATAAATTTATAAATTATGACTACAAGCCTTAAACCGACTTTTTATGGTTAACATTGATTTCAACATTTGAAGTAAAATCAATGTGAGCTCAAGACAACATCAAAACTTTTTTTGAACTCAAGCATTGAACACCCTTTATCCGTTATAACTCACGTAACCATCCACTAAAAATAGCATTTGGCAATCGTTCTTTAGAAACATAATATTCAATTTTTCTATTTGAAAATATCTTCACAAACTTTTCTGCAACGACTCTCCATTTTTAAACTCAATAAGCAAACTTTTGCACGATTTTGATTGTGCGTTCTTGCCTTTTTTACTATATTTTTCGCCATTTCAAAAGTTTATTTTGATGTTGGTCTTAAAGCTTTATTAAGATCATCTTAATTGTCTGGAATCTTAATAACATAAAATTAACTTACAAATTTCATATGCAAGAATATTTGAATAAAATTTAATTTCCCTGCTTAAAATACCCCATAGAGACCCTGTTCAAACCGATAGATATTTGTATCGGGATGTATGGTGTTTCTATAGGGTGTATCGGTTTGTATAGGACCCATAGTTGAGATTTATGGTTGTTCTATAGGGATATCCACCCTTGATTTATTTGCTATCGGTTTCAATGGGGAAAATACACATAAATGTAGAAATTACTTTTTCCCCTATAGGACCCCATAGGTTTTAATTAAATTATGTCAAATGTTTTATACTTGCTCTATAGGGATATCCCTATATATCCTTCATTGAGTTATTTGCTATCGGTCTCAATAGGGAAAATGTAAAAGTTATGGTGTGCCTATAGGTAATTTCCTATACATTTTCTATCGGGCCGTATCCGGAAAAAACCATGGACAAATGCACATATTGAATCCGGTAGCGCCCGATAGATTATTTTGTATAGGTCTCTATGGGGTATTTAAGCAGGGTTGGCCGCACCGTGTTGAATTTTATAATTAAATAAACTTGCTTCCGATAGGGAGTTATTTTTAATTGGTATGGTTTAATATTTCAGGTGTTGGGTATACAAAAGTATATCGCTTTCAAAAAGATAAATGGGTTAAAGTAAAAAACTTGCAATTAAATAAAGGAACGTTACTTTATGCGGAATTTGTAAAAGAAAAAAACACTTATAATGGAAACTCCAAAACTTTTTTTAAATATAGTTTACACGTAATAGATGCTGTAAGCCTGGGTGAAAAAATTTTAACAAATTTAAAGTTTTTTGAAAGGTAAGTAAAACTAGTGTGATAATTTTTTTTTCTACTCGAGTAGGAACTATTACAGAATGTCACCGTTCTAATATTACTTTTTAATGTGGAATTACATGTATTCCTTAAAGTGTTACAGAATGAATTATTCTATCATCAGATGACGGAATAACACATACTTACACACATATCCAAATCATGTCTAACTGAGACGGTTTCCATTTCGTGGGGTTACACGGGTGATTGCATTGAAGCACATGCGTGTCTGCATTGCCGGTTAAAAAAAATACCATATTTTTGTCCCTACTTAGGAATTATAACAAATACTTTTTAATAAATTGTACATAAATTGTATAAAAAAGCATTTAACAATAATAAACACATAAAATGGTTTTTATTATTATCCATTTTGTTTGTTTTCTGTTGTATACCAATTGTTTTGGCATTGTTTTTTTTCCATTGTTTTTACGAGATTTTTAGTGGCTTTTACATAATATGCATATTATGCCATTTTTTGCTTTTTATAAAGCCAAATCAGAAATTTTTGTAAGCTTAACCTAGGCTATAGCCTACATATAAGTAAGAAAATGATTTAGAAAAATTTTATATAACCTAAATTCTATTTAGTTGACAATTCGTATCATACGTGGACGTATTAATTTCTCTATCTTATGTTCTGTGATGTCTATGCTATCATATATTTTAAATCCCCCACATGAACTGACTATGCGCCTAAGGCAAAATGATACGCCAAATCAGCAAATTTACCCTGAAAAAAGGGAAAAAGGTCATATACAAAATATAGCGAATAAGCAGTATATGTGTGGAAGTATGTGCAGAATAAACACTGGTGGCGACATCTCTGTGTTTATTATCCAACAACTTTTAGTCCAATCCAACTTCACTTTCTCCCAAATAAATTATTTTTCAATGATATTTTTTGGAAACGTAGAAAAAGTATAGTCTGAAACACATTTGGAATTGCATATTCCGCTCTCGTGAAACTTTTCACTTTACAGAATATACTATTATTGACGTACACAATATGCTTACTGTTTTAACTTAAACACAGCTTCTTAATTGTAGTTTTAATGTAAGCTCATATAAGGTGGCAGCACAATTGTGTTAACATAAACAACAAAAACTTGGTATATTTATTTGGTTTTAGTATTTGTTTTGCAATATATTATAATATATCTCATTACCAGTAACAACAATATATTGTTACTGGTAATGAGATACTATTTTTTATAATATCGTAAACCAAATTAAAAAGTACACTGGACCACGGAAAGATTCAAAACGAGAAAGTGAACTTTTCTATTGCAGGGTTGCCTCCCATTCGAATTAACTAATTTCCCGTTTCGAGTGGTTGTGCAGCAGCAATAACCAAATGGGCTATTATTATTATTATACTTGTATACTTCTATATGGGTTATTTTCAAATTTCTGTCCCTTAACTTTAATATTTTATAAAAAATTGAGTTTAACGCCATCAAATTTTGGAACTTTACTAAGCGAAATCAATTGGTTTAAGTGTTTTTAGCAACTATATATTAACAAAATAGTAAAATTTTAAATTTAACCCTATAAAAAAATTAAACTTTCCCCAACAGTACAGAAAAGTAGCTGTGCCACTTGCAATAATATTCACTACTTAATGCTATTTAAACATCTTAGAGTAAAATAACATCCTCCTTTTTTATATCGTTGAGAATATATTCCAAATATTACAGAAAAAGACCATTTGTGGTAATATTTAAAAATACAAGTGGTTAAAATAACCCCTAAAGTTTGTCCCTTAATTTTGGTCCCCTAGGTCACGTCTCCTGGGTCACAGTCGAGGGGTCAACCACAACTAGGAATACCTGGACATTTTAGAGGGGGAACAGCATAGGAATACAATGGGAATACATGGGAATACATGGGAATCCCTGGACGTTTTTCCTTTGGGTGGTTGACCCCTCGGTCACAGCTTTTATAAATGACCTTTTAAATTAAGCGCACATTTTTTGGTGCCGCCCCCTTGCGGCAATGTATTTGGTAACGGATTTTAGTAGAAAATGGTGTTTTGAACTATCTTAAAGTCACAAACGTCACAAAATTTTTTATACCAGCGTGGCAAAACTGTGCATTCTGTGCCACAGTAATAAAAAGTAGTAAAGGTACCAGTTGGACTTTGTTTGACTTTCAAAATAAAGTATCCTACCCAGCAAACAAAAAAGCGTGAAAAACACGTGACATTTTGGTAATATTTCAACTAAAATCTAAAGTTTTTTTTTACGTACGAGTTATCAACGTTGGAATGTCACATTTTCAGGACGTATTTTGTGGACGTAATTAAAACGTATTACTTAGACGTAAAAAAATCCCCCTTAACGTGGTTAAGAAGTTACAAAATTGACGTGTTTTGGTTGTTGAATAATTTCTCAAAAATAGTGCTGTTTAACATTAAATGTTAAATTTTTTAAATTGCTTTTGCTAAAAGTAAGTAGTGGGGCCCACTGCTTACTTTTCGCAGAGTGGGCCACAGGACGACCTGTGCCACTTCAAAAATTACAAACAGAAGCGGTATGGTCAATAATTTTGCCTTAGTAAGAAATTCTTACTTAACAGCTTAAGGAATTCCACCTTTATAGGACTATGTATTGTGCTACAGAGGCAAGAGGTATGCGTGGGTTGCCTAGTAGGCAATGGCTACATATTGGCGAATTTTGAAACATTTTGATGACTTCGCATATTCGTCTGATTCTGGTATGAAATAAGTGGTCAGATAATGGCGAGAAATATACGTCATTTTTACGTTTTATTTTGACGTTTATTTTTACGTCTTAAACGTCATTCGTCATTTTCTGTTTGCTGGGTACTTGGGTACATATTTCGTCTAAATTTTACGTGAATCATTTCGACTAAAAGAACTGTATGGGAAGTTTTTTTATGTTTATGTAATATTTTAAACAAATATAGAAATTTCATTTTTGTTAAAACATTCGTTATTTCAAATCGTTTATTTCACTTCAATTTCCTTTACTTTAAAACTCGTTAAATAACAAGATTGGTTACAGCTCTGTATGCTGGGCAAAAATACATTTTTTTATTTTTAAAACAGTAAAGAGGTTATGTTCTAAAAACATAAACTTTTCCCCTGGGTCACGTCTCCTGGATCACATATTATGTGACCAAAGAAATAAATTATAATATATTTTTAAAATAATAATAAACTTATAGGAAAGTTTTAAAAACATTTTTTTTCGACTTTCCACCTTTTTAATACGTATTGTTCTAGTCAATGTATTTTGCCTCAAAAAAAGCTGAAAAAAAATGTTGGTAGTTCGACAAAACAATGTTTATATTGACTTTTTATTATTATTTTATGAATAATACCAATAACTAAAACTTTTTATTAATTTATTGCTCGTTAAATTGGACAACCTGGGCCCAGATAAAAAAATAGAGAAAAAACGTTTTCTTAAACTCACTTTTTTTAATGGACATTTTTTAAATACAGAAAATATATTAAAAATAATTATGAAACATCAACATTTTTTATAAATAATAAATTTATGTTCTTTTTTTAAACAAATCCTAGTGTAAATAAAACCTTGAAAGGATTATTAACAACAACAAAATATATTTTCAAAATGATTAAGCATTTTTATATAAGTTTTTTTAATATTTTAGTAAATTTGTGACCCAGGGGACCATTTTTTTTCTTTTTTAAGGGCTTATTTAAAAAAATCGAACTGCCCACTTTTAGGTGTTGAATATCACCCCTAAATAAACAAAATTTGAAAAAAAACAGATTTGTAGATTATGTTTTTGTTTTTACTTTTTCTTCTTTCTTCTTTGGAAAAGTTTAAATGACCTTGCAGTTACCTGTAAAAATAAACCAGGTTTGCCTGATCATCTAAGTAACCCGTCTATTATAAATAACTATTTTATGTCAGTTTACAATACAACTGATGTAAATCCAGAAGTTATAAACTTTTACACCAAAAACAAGTATAAAGACAATATATTCTTTTGTTTTTCTCTTGTTGAGTGTAGTGTATAGCAAAATTAAATTCAAATGCCTGTGGCACAGATAATATATCATTAAGTATGATCAAGCTCTGTCTTCCAGTTATTTTAAAATACATTACGCATATAGTCAACTGCTGTCTTGAAAGTGGTTACTTTCCTGAGAGTTGGAAAGAAGCAATTGTCTGCCCAGTTCCTAAAATAAAGAATCCATCTGATTTGTCGGATCTTAGGCCTATTAGTTTGTTGCCAGTATTATCCCAAAATCCTTGAAAAAATTGTAAATATCCAAATTGTTGAATATCTAAACAAAAATAAAATTATTCCTGCACATCAATCGGGCTTTCGTAAAAATCACAGTACCAGTACATGTCTTTTGGACCTTACTGATAATATTTTTAAAGCCATGGACAGGAAACAGGCCGCGGTCTTGGTCTCCTTAGACTATTCAAAAGCCTTCGACAAAATAAGTCACTCCCTTCTTTGTTCCAAGCTGATCTATTATGGCTTTGATCAAGTTTCTTGTAAGTTTTTTAATTCATATCTAACTAAAAGATCCCAAAAAGTACGTATCGGAAATACGTATTCGCTATCCTGCTGTGTACCATCTGGAGTTCCACAAGGCTCTATACTTGGACCTTTACTTTTTATTTTATATACCGCTGATCTATTTAATCAAACCAAATATGCACATGTTCAAGCTTATGCGGATGATACACAAATTTTATACTGCTTTGACCCATGTGACATATTAAACACAAACCAAAAAATAAATGAAGACCTTGACTCCCTACAGCTATTTTCAGAAAAACATAATCTTAACGTTAATCCAAAAAAATCTGTTTCCATGATATTTTGTTCTAAAAATCATCGCAAAGAATTAAAAGAAAATCTTAAATTTTTTATAAATAATGAGAACATAAAATTCTTAGAAGAGGCTAAAAATTTGGGTGTTATATTTGATGAAAATCTACGCTTTACCAGTCATGTTAAAAACCTTT